AAAAAAAAAAAAAAAAGTTTTGTACAATAGTAGCTGATTCTAAGGTGATAGGATGCAAAATGGGCCCTCCTTGTGTGAAACACTACCCTATGGTTAAAGTGCTATTAATGAGGTCTCACTGTGTGATACTGGGGAATCTCCACAGAGCACAGCTGGTGACAAGAGCACAAATTTTGAAGTCTGTCTTGCCTCACTGTTTAATATTCTTTGAGTCATCTGACCACCCTGAGACTAAGTTTTTGCATCTGAAATATTGAGATGATAATATCTACATCCTAAGGGTGATGAATTTGTGTGAAAGTGCAAAGCACTGGGCATATCATAGGTACTTTGTAAATTAGTCACTTTTCCCCCTTTGAATCATTTTTCCTTCTTTGAATTATGTTTTGCCTGCCTTCTTGTGTGAGAGTATCATAATGAATTAACATATATAAATAAGAAGCAAATAATGCGTATTCATTATAATCATACTTATTCAAATGGAAAATTTACTGAAGATATGTTCATTTATCTTAGATAAATTTCAATAGAAGAGACAAAGACACCCCCCTGGACCCATCAATGACCACCCTGATTCTGCCTAAGAATAAAGAGAAAATGCAGGTACTTTACCTAGTATACTGTATATACTTATTTGCCAGCTATTAATTTTAATTAGTTCTCAAATGTATTATGTGATTTGGAGGGGCAGTGATCCACAATCCAGTTTTACCTTCTCAGTTTATTCTCCTCAGGTGAACATCTAAGGCATTTTGCATCCTCAGGCTATAGTTACCACTGACCATTCAGTACCAAGATTTGTGAAATACTTGCTTTTTTAAAAGACTAACTTTTAGGCCAAGCGAGGTGGCTCATGCCTGTAATCCCAGCACTTTGAGAAGCCAAGGTGGGTGGATCATTTGAGGTCAGGAGCTTGAGACCCTGGCCAACATGGAGAAACCCTGTCTCTACTAGCCAGGCATGGTGGCACATGGCTGTAGTCCCAGCTACTTGGGAGGCTGAGGCAGAAGAATTGCTTGTACCCAGGAGGCAGATGTTGTGGTAAGCCGAGATCATAGCATTGCACTCCATCCTGGGCAATAAGAGCAAAACTCTGTCTCAAAAAAAAAAAAAAAAAAAAAAAAAAAAAAATGGGCAGGGGGGTTTGAGGTCAGGTACAGTAGCTCACACCTATAATCCCAGCACTTTGGGAGACTGAGCTAGGAGGATCATCACTTGAGGCCAGGAGGTCGAGGCCAGCCTGAGCAACATAGCAAGATCCTGTCTCTACAAAAAATTTTAAAACTTAGCTGGACGTGGTAACCTGCCCCGGTAGTCCTAGTACTTGGGAGGCTGAGGTGGTAGAATCACTTGAGTCCAGGAATTTAAGGTTAAAAGGTTTCGTACAAGGCCGGGCACGGTGGCTCACGCCTGTAATCCCAGCACTTTGGGAGGCCAAGGCGGGTGGATCACGAGGTCAAGAGATCGAGACCATCCTGGTCAACAAGGTGAAACCTCGTCTCTACTAAAAAAATACAAAAATTAGTTGGGCATGATGGTGTGTGCCTGTAGTCCCAGCTACTCGGGAGGCTGAGGCAGGAGAATTGCTTGAACCCAGGAGGCGGAGGTTGCGGTG